CGGGCCTGGTGCCGCGGGGCACGCTGGGTGGCAGCACAGCAAGCTTCCTAGCATTCTGTAAACTGTGCTGCTTACCAAGGGTTCAACCAGAGATGGCACACTGACACTGATAGAGAGGTAGTGAGAGAGACACACACACACACACACACACACACACACACACACACACACGCTCTTGATACTCACAAAGGGCACCCAATGCCTTGCCCAGCTTGTGTAGCAGGACCCACCAGACCCAACTATGAAGGAAGAGACCCCCTGTCTCCCCTTCTCCAGGGATCAAAGTGCTGACACGCTCTCTGCTGGGCTCTGTCCACTCACCCTCATTCATGACACAAACCCATGGAGGAGCCTGAGAGTGCCGCGGAAGCGCGTCTGAATTCCACTCACTGACAGGACCTCAGGCGTTCAGGGAGAACCTGAGAGCGGGTGTAGGCGGTGTCCCCACTACAGAGCCTATTAACAACGGCATCACACTAGTCAGGGGATGCTTTCAGGGATGACAGAGCACAGCCAAGCGTCTTTCAGGCAATCTACTTACAAGTGACAGCTCTCCAGATCAGTGTGGGAACTCAGCCACCGCCACCCAGGAGGCAGGCTTCCCACCCGACACCTCGGAAGATGGGGACGAAGCCAAAGGTATCCCAAGGCCACAGACAGGATTCCCTCCAAGCCAAGGGCTTCCTTTGGTGCTAGCCACCGACAGTGGCCTGGGTGCAGGGCGTGCTGGTTGTAACTTAGGGCCAAGGGCACCTTACCTGGTTGGTGGCCTCTGGTGGCATGGGGGAGGGCGACTTGGACTGGAAGGCGTCCTGGGATATGAATCCTGAGTCATGGGAGGACACGCTCGACAGCCTCACGGGCGCCTGCTGGGCCAGGTTGGAGCTGCGGTAGCGGTAGTGCGAGCTGGGGGAGTGGGAGTGAGAGCCGCTGGACCGGGAGTCGCTGCTGTTGACACTGTTCAGGCTGCTGTAGGGGCAAGCAGAAGGTGGCAGCATGGAGGGCAAAGGAGGGGGTGGGGGAGTGGGGAAAGGAAGGACAGGAAGAGACAGTGAGGGCAGGCAGGCCGCAGCCACCATAACACAATCAGCTCCCTGCCCTGGTGAAGCAGCATAAACCTGCCACACGTTTCTGTTCCATTTAGCACCAAATCAGTAAGCTGGTAACAAGAAGTGTTTTCAGGTGAGCCAGGGGGAGTCGGGACTCAGTTCTCTGACAGTGCAATGCTCCATTCATACATCAAAGCCTGCGACAGTGCCCAACTCTGCTGTCACCTTCTACCAAGGCCAGGGGACCTGATGTCCATGGCATGAAAAGACGTAGGGCTAATCTCATCTGTTCATCTCCTTGAAAAATTCACAACCCTGGAGCAACACCCACTCAAGCTTTAGCATGACCAGGCTGAATGTCCTTGGATGGACTGTCTAGGTACAGATGACCAAGGTCAACACAGCCCTAAGGTGATCTCACCCTAGGTGACCCAGAACGTGCCGATCAGCAGGCCGACGCTGCATGTCTGTGTGCATGTGTGTATATTTTATTAACAATGCTGGTGCTTCAATTAAGAGCTTTCCCCTGATCCCAGGTGTTTCTCTGTTAAGAGCACAACTGGCAAGAGGCAGACGGCTTTCAGGGATGAAAGGCAATCGATGCTGAGCTGTTTGCTTCTGATATGGTAAGAGGACACAGAGTGGAACAAGGACACACACCCTCTGGGCGTTCTGCCTGCATTCCATTTCCAGTCATGAGAAATAGGCCACGGACTCTGTGTAGGATTACTCTAGTTATGAACATCAGAAAGCCGAGCAGCCCATGATCCAAAGAAGCAGAGCTGAACCCTAACCAAGCTGAAGGATGAGTACACAAGCCAGCCCAGGATTGGGAAGTTTGTGGTTTCTGCTCCCAAACCCACAAGAGATTCTGTATTACACCCGCTGCCCGCTAATGAGGACCACGCACTGGTCCTACCCTAGGATTTGTTGGCGTGAAGGCTGAGACAGACATCGGAGACTGCTGCTGCTGCTGGGGTAAGACCATGAAGCCACCTTTCCCCACACCAACCAGAAGAGGGCACTTGGGGACTGACAGTAAAGCTCACGGCAACACCACTCTGGCAAGCATGTGAGCAAGCTGGCTTTCTACACAAACTAAGAAGATAAGGAAGAAAAGACACCATGTGACTTTATTTTACACTAATGAGAAACAATTCCCTTGGCTACTAAAAAAACAAATGTTTCTCTCTCTCTCTCTCTCTCTCTCTCACACACACACACACACACACACACACACACAGCCCGTGGAAGATGACAGGAGACCAGCCAACATCTTCAGGGCAGAAGGTCAGGATGTAGCCTCTTGACCTGACCACCTGTGAAGTGTACACCGTACGCGCTTCAGTGTGAAATGAAACACGCCAGGACGCACAGAGACATTTCCATACACATGCTCCTTCCTCTCAAGGTTAATTTACAGGAAGTGGACCTTCATTTGGCTTTGACAAATCAAATGATTAGCAGCAGGTGTAGCCTACCAAGAAAGGCAAGTGATGTCTGATGACGGTTCCATCCTTCAAGTAGAGAATGGCCACCTGACAAAACCGCTAGAGAAGAATCCTAGAGCTGGCAGAATGCGTCCAAGTGATTCTGCCTCAGTATGTAATGGTGCCAGTTAGCAGAGCAGCGATGCTGGTGGTGGCTGGCAGAGCAAGAACTCCATTTATTTTATGAAACCTTGAGATAAAAATTGGGGGGTCCCATGAGGGCATACACCACTGTTAGATCCTTAATTATCTCTGCAACAGTGAGATAAGCCTGGGTAAGAATCCACCTCAGTTCATCCTTCTTTGGCCCTTTTGGTTTTCACTCTGCTAAACAGCAAAATCAAAAGTGGTGTCATAAAAAGGAAAATCCCTACAACGTCCAGCTGAGGGAGGGCAGGCCACAGCGGCCAGTGTGAGGGTCAATGGGGTTTTCTTTCGGATTCAAAATTAATCTAGAGCCTAGAGAGTGAGACCAACAGCAGCCATTCTTTCAGCTGATCATCGTAACATTTCCTGTTTAAAAATCAGTGATTTTCCTATAAATGGCTCCTATCTGCATACAGAAAGATGACTTGTCCCCGAAAGCAGACCGTGGCTTCACTTACCTGCAGACGCTTGACTTTCTGGACATAGTGGTGCTGGGGGAAGAGGGTGGCGTCTGATAGGACCAGCTGTAGTCAGAACCTTTCAAGTCCAAAATCACCTGAAGGGACAGAGCCAACTGGGTAAGCAAGGTGCCAGGAAGGGAAATACCATCCATCACGTCTCAACACCCACCAGAGCATCCAAATGCTGCCCGCCGGTGGGTGGGAGTTAAAGGAAACGTTCAGCTGGTTTAATGGAAGAGCCACACTACCTATCCATCAATGTCACAATCCTTTTCTGAGATAAGCTAAACTATAATTAATGGGGGATGGGGAGAAAAAAAAGAAAACCCTGAAATATCAGTGGAAAGAGAGTTAGAGATAATTACAGTGACCCATGAACAATGTACAAGCACTATTTATGCCTCAGGCTAGGACGGGCAGGATTTTCCCTTTGTAGCCCCCTGAAGACAACAATGGTTTCCAGGCTGGTTGACCTTGCCCTCTAACCACTCGATACTCAGTGGTCACTCGTGCCCTATTTTACCAGGATTTGAAACTTTAAAACCTGACAGCATCTAGAGTAAGTCGCAATTCCTCCACAATTATATCTGTGTCTGTCTCCCCCGCCTGACGAAGTGCCATTCAAGTGTGAGGTCCAGCTCTCACTCCCATGAGGGCTGCTCCACAAATGTCTACTCATGAGGGAGAGCAGGCTGTGGCCTGGTGAGCCACCTCGGAGGACAGAAAACACAAACCTCCAAATTTATCTCTGAGTTGACCCTCTGAGGAGGCGATAAGAATTGTATACAAAGGGCTAAAGTTGGTAAGCGAGTCATCCATTGCTCCCCACGATACATCTCTTCCCACTCGATACAGGGTTAATGTTGCATGCACCAAATGAATGAAGCAGAAATAACGTCCTCTTTTCCGAAGACCAGAGCGATCCCAAGCATTACCTGGAGTGGTAGAACTGGAGGACAGTGAGCCCTGACAGCCACATCCCACCACTGTCACGTTCTGATGAGAGCCGATTCCCAGAGGGTAGGTGGCCACACAGGCTCTGGTACTGGACCTCTCAGTTCAAATCCCAGCTCCACCACTGACTAACTATCACTGTCTCAGTGTCCTTCTTCCTCAAATGCACACAACAGTGACGGTGAGCTGAGGAGTCCATGCAGAGCGCCCGGACCAGTGTCCTACACACAGCTCAGGTACAGCACAGGACCTGGCCATGACGGTTACCATGATGATAATGCCAGGGATGTGGTGAATAGGATGCAATTTAAGATGTGATAAATGCCACAAAGGACACTCAGGGCCTGGAACTTTCCCCTCAGGCCTTGTCCCCCGGAGTGCCTGACCATGGCTCCTACCTGTTCACTGGAGGAGGGCAGTTTGTGAGGGTCCATGGTCAGGCTCTTTAGATCTTCCGATATGGTCTGGAGGTGGGTGATTTCCCCCAGCATGGAGATTTCTTCTTCCTGAAGGAAAAGAATTCACACCCCATTATTACCATGAGTGGCTCACTTCATTGTCTTGTTCCAACTGCTTTTATTAAGGTCACATTAAAACCCTCAGGTCTTTCAGGAATGGCGCCATGGGACTGGGAGACCACTGAGCAAGGCATTAGAAACACTTTCTTTTGGGAAAGAGAAAGGAAAAAGGAATCTGCCCTCACACGGAGCAACCTATGTGCTGGGGACAGTGCGGCGTGAAGACAAGGCCTCCTGGCGGTGCTCGGGACACGGCCTGCGTGTCCCCACAGGATCCTCGGCACAGCCCCGTCCACTAGCTGACACTGCTTGGCTTCAATGACTGACGTGATTTGGGGCTATCTGGGCCTAGACCTTGGTGACAACACAACTTCAACTGAGGTTAACGTCCCCCTTTCTTGATTTTTTCCCCACCATCTTAGTATATAGCAAGTAAGGCAGGAACCGAGAGATGGGAACCCTTCCTTAACTTTCCCAAAGTGCCCAGCTGGGCCCAGGGACCCCAGTGAAAAAGAGCCAAGGAAAGCAACTACTCTCAGGGGAATGAGTCAAACCAGGCGCCTGGCAAGGGCTGAGGGAGGCCACCTGTGCCCTCCCTCCTGGCTTCGAGGATGCCAGCTCCCAAGGTTCTCAGGTATGGTTTGTGAATGACTCCTTAGACAGGAAGCCTGATGACAGACAGGAGGTTCTTCCTGTATTAATCTCATGGCTACTCCTAGATATCTGGCTTGGCCATCGGGTCTCAAAAGCCACCTGGCAGGCCTGTTTAACACAGATGGCTGGGTCCCCATCTCCCGAGTTTTAAATTCAGTGGATCTAGGTTGGCCCAAGAATTTCCGCTTCTAACCAGTTCCCATATGATGCTGCTGGCCTAGGGACTCCACTTTGAGAACCACTCTGCTAGGCCTACTTCATGTAGCGGTGAAAAAGTGCAGTGGAAAATCTGGAGGTAAGAACTGTGGTCATGGAGTGGCCACGTAGCCCTCAGCACCTGCAGAGAATCACTGGACCACAGATATGACTCTACCACCATGTGACTCTACCATGTGACTTCCTGACATGCAGCAGGTTCTCAACATCCCCATGGTGGATACACAAATAAGATGGAAGCCCTCTGCACCCTGGAAGCTCAAGCCTTCCAGAGCTTTCCATCAACTTACAATTACTGGCCGTAGCATAGAGATGAAAGTGCAGAATCGGCCGCGTTCTTCAATCAAAGCCTTGCGAACTGCCTGCTTTTCTGTTTCCTCCAACAAGAGATATTTATCGTTGACATCTTGGAGGGCGCTGTCCAACTGAGGCTGGATGTCACCTCTCCCTGCAGACAAAACAAATCCCCGGGCGTGGCTTGCTGAGACACCGCTCCTGCAGCAATTACCCCTCCTCCCTGGGGTCCTTGCTGGAGTCCAAACCACTGTTTTCCAGAACTTAAAAAAAAATTATTTGTACCCTAGAAAGATTTAAGGTGACTGTTCTAGGACCGTTCATTTCCAATTCCCAACTCCTGAAGAGTACACGTATCTGTTTTATTCACAACAAGGAGAATCTCCTGGTGCGCCTCTTCATGACCTGCCTTCCTGCCTGGAGGACCCCACAGAGCCTTCTGCCAACAAAAGCATGAGACTCAGGCTTCCTTCCTTTGGGAGCATCCTGAAGAGGCTAGAGATGGATGAACAAGGTGAGGGCCTGCAGCTATCTCCCCAAAATGGGCACACGCTGGCTTTGCTGGGTCAATGTCAATCAAAGAGCTTTTGTTGGGCAGAAGCTTCTGCCCCTGAAATCAAAGCTGGTAAGCATCTACTCTCCCAGCTCAGGGCCCCTGAGCCTGGCCATGATCTTTTCTTATCTGGCCATGTCCAAAGACCCTGGTTAGGCAGAGGCAACCACTTCTAGGGTATCAGATGGGAGTTAACATTTTAAACAACTTCAGAACCTGAACAGCAAACTGTGTAAATGAAGTTTTACCAGGAACCCAGAGCATCCGCTCATTTACATGCTGTATATATACCTGCTCTGGCAACCACAGTAGAGTGGATCGTTGTAACAGACTGTGACTTAAGACCAAGAACACGTGGCCTTCTGCAGAAGTTTGCTGCACTAGAAGATAACCATGGGCACATAGGAACTGTCTAGGGAGGCTATTGCAGTCTGATCTGCAGGTGGGGACAAGGTGGCACATGAGAAGACAGCCCTTGAGCTTCCCCCTAGGCTGCCCATGCAAGGGCCACTGTATGATCCAGAGAATTCCTGATGTCCTTCAAGGCAGGATTTTGGCCTTTCTCTGAAGTGCTCGCTGGACAATGCCGTGTGAGTATAACGACAGTTTTAAACACAGAATGTCAGCTCTCTAAGAGGACTTAAAGCTCATCCAAACCAACCTGCTTACGTTTCTGTGGAGGTCAAACCCTAGAGAGGTCGTGGGACTCAGGGGGAAAGGTGCAGAGCCCAGACAGGGCCCACAGCTGAGCCTAGGTGTGAAGCCCATTCTCTGCCCACTGCCTGCAGCCCAGTGAACCAGCTCCAGCACCCTGTAGGAAGCAGCCAGACCAGCTGCCATCTACCTCTTAAGAACAACACAGAAAACATTGAAGAGAATGTACTGATTTTTTCTGAAAGAAAAAATACAAGGTTTGGGGAAACTACCCTGGGTGTAGGAAAACACTTCTCTCATGCACTGAGGAGAAAGGTCAATTTGGAGCCAGAGGCGGTTGGGACATTCTCTAAGTTTCCATAGGAAAAGTCATATTTTAGTAAGAAGAGTCACTTCTCATGCAGGCAATGAATTTTAAGTTAGCATGTAATAGGAAAATGTATGTAGTTAAAGATTACCCTTTAAAAAGTCTTAAATGGCCAATAAATACAGTGTGCACAACTGTATAAGTGTATATATATAATTCATGAGTTCAAGGGCATACGAATACAGGATGTGTACAATATACAGTATCTAAGACCACAGAGGGACTTTATCCAAATTACATTATATAAGAAATTTGGAAGGGGTAGGTGATGTAGCTCAGTAGGAGTCTTACCTAGCATGTGTGAACCCCTGGGTTCAATCCCTGCATTAGGAAAAAAAGAAAGAAAAAGAAAAGGAGATTTGCTGCTTACGAAGTTTCATTACAGACAGGCGTGGTGGCTCACACCTGTAATCCCAGAGGCTCCGGGAGCTGAGGCTGGAGGATCACAATTTCAAAGCTAGCTTCAGCAATTTAGCGAGGCCCTAAACAATTTAACGAGAACCTGTCTCAGATAAAACTTGAAAAGGGCTGGGGATGTGGCTCAGTGGCCCCCAGATTCAATCCCTGGGCCAAAAAAGAAAAAGTTCCATCCTATTTCCAGGGCTGTCCACTCACCCTCTACTCTCAGGCTAATCCTCTAGTGTTTCTTTAATCTCACTTCCAGGATGCAGGGGCGCCATTCCTCGGCATTAACCTGGCCACCTGAGCCACGGGTTTCGTGTTTTCAGGGATAGAAAGCCCATCCTCTCATCTTCCATCCTCTCTGGGGGTTTGCCAGGGGTCAAGGGCTCCCTCCCACAGACATCCACCTGCTGTGGCTACGGGCTCAAGGGGGAAGGCTGGGCGCCATAGCACTGCGAGAAACTTGGGTTTTCTCTTCTGTTGTCAAGAGCTGGCTTGTGCAATTGAGTCCGCATACAAGCCTGCTAGTGGCAAAGCTCAGGAACTCTTTAAGCATCTGTGAAAACTGCCTGGCCAATCCATGACTTAGATAGTGCTGGTCTAGAGGCCCTCTTTTAATTAATTTATTTATTTTTGGTTGTAGAGGGACACAATACCTTTATATTATTTATTCATTTTTATGTGGTGCTGAGGATCGAACCTAGTGCCTCACGCATGCTAGGCAAGCGCTCTACCACTGAGCCACAGTCACAGCCCCTAAAGTGTTGGTCTCCTTGTGTGCTATGTGGGGTGCCACTGATGAAACCCTGGCTTCCTGCATGTTAGGTAAATGCTCTACCACCAGCTACACCCCCAGGCCTCTCTTAACCTCGTTTATGCTCTTCTAATGTCCAAACATGAAGGGCTGCAGACCCAGGTCAGAATGTGCTTGCTTGACTTTGGTGGAGAGGCATGGAAGGACCTGGAGAAACAGATTTTAAAGTCCATAATGTCTGGCCAAATCTGCTCGGAAATGCTTTGATTACAGAAGCAATTTTTTTAAAAATAACAGACTACGGTGATGAGAAATTGCAAAATTTGTACCTTTACTTCCTTTCACAAATTATAAGCTACCCATCTACTTGAATTAATATTAGACTTCTAAAAATGTATCCACATTTTTAGAAAAACAAAGTGCATGTGTTCAAAGTTTAAATTATTCTATGATTGTAGCAGTTATTTTAAATATGTGTTATGTTATAATTAAAGGACTTTCAACTTGTAACATTCTAACATAAGTATAATCTTGTAAAGATTGCTCTAATTATGGTTATAGTGAGAGCAAATTCCATTTAGGATATATCATAACCTAAAACACAATGATTATTTCTTAAATTTGGTAATACAACATATAATTATATTTATTAAAAAAAAAACTGTGGAAGAAATTATTTCATGTCCCAGTTGGAAGCAGTAACTTTAAAATACAGTAATTGTTGAGGTCCTTAAATTCCAAGCTGTACTGGTACTGATATAATATGGTCATCCCTTGATGTTCCTGGGGAAGTGGTTCCAAGACTCCCAAGGACACCAAGTCTTTGGTGGTCCAATTCCCTTGCATAAAATGGCAATCTGCATGAAATCTACACACAACCTGCCATATACTTTATATTTATTTTGGGAAACAAATTCTTGTTATATTTCCCAAGCTGGCCTTGGCCTCTGGGCTAAAGTGATCCTGCTGCCTTAACCAGCGTGTGCCCAAAATGTTGGGCCAGTTGGGACAACTGTCCCTCGCCCAGCCTCCACCATTTACTTTAAATCATCCGCAGATTACCTGTAATACTTATTACAACATAAATGCTAAGTAAATAGTTGCTATGCTGTACTGTTAGGCAATAATGACAAGAATAAAGTCTGTACATGTTCAGTACAGATGCGATTTTTTTTTCAATGTCTGTGACCCATGCTTGTTGAGTCTGTGGATGGGGAACCCGGGGACACACGGCTGCTTCACATCCACTTCCCTCCCACTGGCACTGCCAGCAGTCATTCTGCTTCCTCAAGCACGGGTCCCTGTGGTTAAGGGCTCCCTCCCACAGACATCCACCTGCTGTGGCTACGGGCTCACGGGGGAAAGCTGGGCACCACAGCACTGCGAGAAACTTGGGTTTTATCTATGGGTCCCTGGTCCCTGGCCATTCTTGATCCCAAACAGACCAGCTCACTGTCTTCCCTCTTGTCTCCCCTCTGCTTCCTCCACCCTCAGGGTCCAGACAGCAGTAACAGCTCCTAGAGCATCACCCCAATCGCATTCGGACAAGTTCTCCCCAAACAACCCCCAAACCCCCACTCCTTTCCTTAGCTTCCACTACTATCAGGAAAAGTCCCATGTCAGCACAGCCTGCCAGGCACATCTGGGTCACTGCCGATCACCCTGCAGCCACAGCTGTCTTGGACCATTCTCCCTTTCATCCTCCGGGGTCCAGTGCTGCCCCCCCCACGGGCCCGCTCCTTCCTCCCCACCTGCTCACCCCTAACTCTCCCTCTCTCAGGGACACCCGCCTGTCTCCCCTGATCAGGATTCTCTTACTTGCTCTCAGAAGCTCCTAATACCCGTCCTTTGCAGCCTTCCCCAGTTCCACTGTCCTCTGTATTTTTCTAGATATTTGTGCAGTGTCAACCTCCCTAGTGACAGGAAAGCCCCACGAGGGCAGAAACCAAGCGTGTTTTTGCAGTACTGTGTCTCCTCCCTGGCGCCCTTGCCTGGAAGACAGCAGGCACAGGAGCTGCAGATGAATGAGGCACTGACAGCGACTTGAGAGAGTTTGCTCTCTGGTTCCAACCAGCATGCCCTTAAATGGCTTAAGGCTTCAGAACCAGCAAATTCCAGGACCTACCAGCAGCCAAAAAAGAAGGGAGGGCTTAGATGCCTTAGATGGGCTTTCCAGACAAAATTCCTCACGAAGAATTGTGTCTGGCCTTTTCTACAAAATCTAAGTCTGCCTCAGTCCTATGACTTTTTTCCCCCGCTGCTAGTTTCCAGGTCTTGATTGAATTCACATTGGAGAATCCACTGAGCAGCGGCCAGGAGCCCCTGTCTACCCACCCCCCAGGGGGAAATCCTTTAGTTATTCTCTTTGCAAAAAAAAAATGTTCCTGGAGCAAAGCACTGCAAAGGGGTAGCATTCTTGGGGTG